TCCGGATGCTGAGCGCACTTCGGAGATTGGAGGCGCTCGCACAGCATCCAGCAAGTCCTTGCGTGGTGTCATTGTCCATGCAGCACCAGAGTCCATGACCCACATGTCAAGCGGGTGCAATTCCTCTCCAGCCCTTGCAACAGCTGTGCCACAGTCATCTTTGTCACACACATGGTAGAACTGTCCAGCATTCCTCTCCTCATTTCCCATTCCTCTGTCATCCTTTGAGGTTTCTTCAGCAGGATCAGCTACCATGTTGGCACCTCCATGTGGTTGCTTTCCTCCATTCCCCTTTTGCAATTGGTTCCAAGGGGTCCACCAGTCGGGCTTGGTAGAGCAGCGAAACCATGGATGCCCTTCTTCCTTGCAATACCAGCACTCTCCCCTCAAGCGTGGTTCATTGTTGTCATTGTTGGAGTGACCACCTCTTCCTCTTGCACCAGGGCCACCACGCCCCCGCTGGTTCCAAGTCCCGCGACCACCTTGGCTGTAGTAAGAGCGACCATGATTGCCACGCCCTCGATCCCTCCATGTCTCTTGCATGGCATAGCCGCTGGTGCTGTCATCACCTCCGCGCAGTGTATAGCGACGAAAATCTTCTTCCAGAATCTTGGTGCGAATCCACTCCAATGTCCATTGACTTTGGTTTTGTGGCAAGCCGAGTCCGCTTATAAATTGCAGCCAAGACTCGGGCAGCAGGCTGATCATCTTGAGACACTTAGTCTGCTCAGGGTACGTGATGCCTGCAATTGCCAATTTTGCGTAGAGTTCCCTCATCTTGTCCTGTACGGGCTGCACAGGTTCATTCTTGCTCAACCGCAGCATGTGTAAGAAATAGAGTTGAAATGATTGATTAGGTAAGGAGCCCAAGGCTCTATAAGTACATGGCAAGGTGAGAGTGAATGGATGAAGGGGGGATTGGAGGGAATCCCCATTGGGATCTTCGGAATCTCCAATTGGGTAATTGGAGATTGTGGGGATCACAATTGGGTGAGGTTGGGATTTGTGAGTACACCCCAACCCACTAGAGCATTCATAACCTAAACTAGGATATAAAAGTACAAATACAAACGTGATATTTGCAGTCTATTTCTAACACACCCCCATAGACTGCAAACCCGGTCAAGGAGCACATAGCCCCATGGAACGGAGAAGGCGATGGTGGTCAGCCTTGCCGAGAGCCTTGGTAAAGAGGTCGGCGAGGTTGCAATCTGAGGCTATGTACCGTACCGTCAGCTGGTCACTTTGAACAAGATCTCGGATGAAGAAATGACGAAGTTCGATGTGCTTGGTGCGAGAGTGGAACACAGGATCCTTGGTGAGGTGAATGGCACTCTGGTTGTCACACCACAGGGTGGGCGACTGCTGGGGGTAGCCTAACTCAGCGAGGAGAAAGGAGAGCCAGCATGCCTCTTGAGCAGCCATTGTGCCCGCGTAGAGCTCGGCCTCGCAGGACAACAGGGAGACTGCAGAGGACGGAGTGGAGCGCCAGCTGATGACTCCGCTACCAAGGGTGAAGCAGTACCCTTGGGAGGAGCATCTGTCAGTCTGGTCATCGGCCCATGAGGAGTCTGTGTATCCCTCGAGCTTGACTGGAGAGGTACCACCAAGAGTGAGGATGTGAGACTTGGTGGCTTGTAGATAGCAGAGGACCCTCTTGGCTGCAGACCAATGCGAGGCAGTGTAGCGTCCGGAGGAGACGTACCGAGAGAGGACACTAACCGGGTAAGCCAAGTCTGGTCGAGTGCACATCATGGCATACATGAGTGAACCGACTAGCTTAGGGTACGGGTCCTTGCAGGCGTCAGGAGAAGGAACTGGAGGGGCCGTGAGCTGATGCTGTAGTGGGAGTGGAGTGGAGACAGAGTTACTGGAGTCCATGTCGAACCGCTTGAGAAGGTTGTCGATGTAGGACTGCTGGGAGAGGGTGATCGTGCAAGCCTGGCGGTCACGAGTGATCTCCATCCCCAGGTAGTTCTTGAGGTCACCAAGATCCTTCATGAGAAGGGTGGAGAAGGCGGCTGGTCCCCAGGCGAGAGGCGGAGCCGGTCCCTTGGAACGAGTGCGACTAGAGACCGGAGACGAAGGCGGCTGCGGTGGGACCGGAGGTACTGGGCGCCTCCGATAGGAGACTGGTGAGCCGGGCTCGACGCGCGGGGAAGGCGGAGCAGGAGGAGGTGCCGCTGCGGAGGATACTGGGGAGGCCGGGTGAGACACGCCGGATGGAGAAGGTCCCGGAGAAGGGGCAGCGGCCGGAGGTGGGGCATCAAAGTCTGCCCAAACAAGCATCGGGGGAGGTGGAGGAGGCTCCCCCGTGGTCGCAGAGTGGAATGGGCGTGTCTCATCGAAGACGACATCACGGCTGCGAATCAGCTGTCTGGTGATAAGGTTGAGGAATAAGTAGTCTGGGGAGTCGGAGTTGTGCCCCAGGTACATGCAGGTCTGGGTTTTGGGACCAAGCTTGCCACCTTGCTTTCTGCGCGTGTGGGGGCTTAGCAACACATACGCGGTACACCCCCAGACGCGTAGAGAGCGGGCGGAAGGCGTGACCCCAAGCCAGAGAGCGGTAGGTGTGGTGTCGGGCCGGTGGGGATGCGGATAAAGATTGTAGAGGAGTGCCGCATGGAAGAGGGCATATCCCCAGAATGACCGTAGTGTCTCGTATGGCTTGAAAGGAGTGTTCTTCCTTGAGAACCGTGTGAGTGGCCCCACTGTCGAGGGTGAACTCTATTGTGGTTGAGGTGCTTTGTGAGCCAGGATACTGCGAAATCGTCTCATTAATCATGGCAGTGCTAGGGAACAACATGTTGAGGCGCACATCAGCAGGTGCAGCCACAGCAGCCTGTACGGATTCCTGCGCTTCGACTTGATTGACTTGGCGAGGAGCACGATTGACCATCCAGCCTGGCGGCTTGGAGGCGGTCCCATTGACGGCATACCACTCGTCATCCTTCTTCTTAAAGGAGGAGGCAAGGCCGTAATTGGTGCCGCCACACACCTGGCCAGCACGAGGGCCACGCTTGATGACGTAGGGACACGGGGGGAAGAGGTTGCGCTGGAATGGCACCGACGCGGCATAGGCTTGAGGCACGAAACCGCGGATTGCATTGGCCTTGGCTTGAGCGCTGTTGTCCTTTTCGGCAGAAAGGAGCGCGGATGAGACCTTGGCAAATGTTAGGTCTGCAGGAGCAAGGCCCAAGAGCATCTTGCGTGTGACTTCGTATGCCGGAGTGAGGCCGACTAGGAGAGCGGCTGCAGGGGCTTGCTTGGGGAAGACTATCCCCAACTGTTTGAGTTCATCATGAATGGACTGCACCTTGGTGACATAGTCCGCCATGCCTGGCAGGTCCTCGAGCCGCACTTGGAACATGCTGGGGATGAGTATAGCAACTCTCACTGCAGTCTTGTTTAGGAAGCGATCTTCGAGGTAGAGCCAAATGGCGTTGGCAGACGGGTAGTTGTGGTAGGTTTCGACGAGTTCGGGAGGAGTGGTGCCCATGAAGACACTAATGACCGCACCATCGGCCTTCTCCCAATTCTTGTACTTGAGCACTGTAGCAGCATAAACAGCTTCGGCGGCGGCATTAGCTGGATCGGCGGACCTCTCAGGTTTAGGAGGCTCTTTTCCGTCACCGATGTTGAGAAGGACGTCGGTGAGCTCGAGCCCCTTCACCTCGCGACTGAGGAGGTGCTTGTCGACACCATAGCGCCAAGCCTTGTAGTTGGAGCATGTACCGTCCGGCTCGAGACGAAGGAGCGGGATCGGGTTGGCAAGTGAAGTGGTTGAGTAAGCCATTGTCAGTGTGCAGCGCGGCACTTCTGGAAATTGGTCGACGAGAATTGCTGAAAATCACTCTGACGGCTGTATCAAAATGCCGCTAAGTAGGAAATGGCGTCGGCGAAAATTCGTTAAAACGCCGACTTGAAACTGAATCTGAGCCTATGTCTAACCCCGAACCCACACACCCCCCCACACACCCCCAGGCCCTGTCCCGCAGCTACACAGCTCCGCAACCAGCTCCGGAACCAGCTCCGCAACCAGCTCCGCTCCGCTTCAACCTGTGTACCTGCTCTTGCTTGACGCGAGACGTTCGTGGAGGCGATTTCGCGAGGGGAGTTCGCCTATTCAGGCGGGGTCTGAGGGGAAACTTGAGAACGAGTTTTAAGAGATGGTCGAAATTGAGATTCGACCTAAGAGAAACGAGGAGGAAATCGACGATGAGAAGCGTGAAAGCTTCAGAGATGAGAAATTCAACGAGGTCGAGCGCGAAGGCGGTCGACGATGAGAGGCGCGATTGCAGGGTGGAGCACGTCGAAATTCCGACGACTCGAAACGAATGTCGCGACGATGAAGTGCTCGTAGCGCGGGCACGTTGAGATTAGGACCTTGATCCGCGTGTGCGTATAGGTCGCTCTGATACCATGTAAGAAATAGAGTTGAAATCATTGATTAGGTAAGGAGCCCAAGGCTCTATAAGTACATGGCAAGGTGAGAGTGAATGGATGAAGGGGGAATTGGAGGAAATCCCCATTGGGATCTCCGAAATCTCCAATTGGGTAATTGGAGATTGGGGGGATCACAATTGGGTGAGGTTGGGATTTGTGAGTACACCCCAACCCACTAGAACATTCATAACCTAAACTAGAATATAACCGTACAACTACAAAAGTTGTATTTGCAGGCTATTTCTAACAGCATGGACAGCTCCCGATCCAGCATGAGAGAAGCGGCAACCAATGTCGGAGCATGCAGGTCCTTGAGCACTGCCCATGCCTTGGGCCCACAATCAGTTTCCGGTAGCAGATGCATAATGTGATGCCTCTGGTTCAACTCCAAGCTTTGTAACAGTAGATAATACCCAGCAGATGAACGTTCATCCCAGTCCACTTGCTCTGCCATTTCCTTTGGCCTTGGCTCCGTTCCAATCATGAGCTTCAAGAGGCCAATTTGTCGAAAGTAGAGCTGCATCTTCCATGCCCAATCATCATAGCCATCTCCAGAAAACTTCTCAATGGTGAAGTTCTTCAGCACCTCCTTAAGCAGTGACCCCTGGCTTGTACGCGCTCCCCTTTGCGTTGCAATGCCAGAATCTTGGATTGAGCTGCCTCCTTGGACTGAAGTATCACCTCCACCAGAGTCCTCCTTATCTCCCATCGTATTTTAGGTCCCAAATGCGTGATAATGGGCTCTGATACCACTTGTTGGTTAGAGAAGGCTATCAGCAGATGATTCAATGGCTCCTTGGAAATTTCTGCAGCACTTCGTTATGACGCCCAGAAAACTTGCGACCTTCGAAAAGCTATATCCAAAACTCCAATACGTGAAACCATCTGAAACTCGGATATGATGTAGCTTGCAGCGTCAGCTTTCCAATGAAAGTTGAATCACTCGATTCCGTAGCTGAACGAGTGAGCTATGGCGTTTGGCGCACTGGGGGATAATCTGCCCTAGGAGAAATTGACAGTCCTTAGAGTCACTATAATTGAAGCTTACAAGTTCAGAGACATGATGGAAAAGGCATTGAAGCACAGTTGGAAGGTGGGGTAGAAAGGGAAGGACCTTGGAGGCCCATGGTCAAGAACATGACAAGAGTCAAAGTCTTGACTCCCCATCCTCAGGTTCAACCAGCCTGGCAAGACAAAATTCACACTGTGCCAGGTTGGCCTCCAAACCCTTAATGCTGCAGCTGCAAGGTGGGGACAAAAGTCCCACACATGCTGGTCCCTCCTCGTTATAGGGCTCTCCAACTTTGGTATAGCAGTTGACAAGGACTTCCAATGAGTTGTAACAAATCCATCAAACATTTCTTCGTAACTTCTTCATATGTGCTCCGATTCCAACAATTCTTGGCTCGTTGGAATGTGCTCGATGCCATGCACAATCCAAGCACATCTGCAAAAGCACAAGATGAAAATGCAAATTCATGCAAATCTAACAAACCATACAAGCAATGTAGCACACAAAACACATGCAACAAAATGATGCGAACAGACGACAGGATGATGTGCAAACGAATATGCACCAACAGGATGAAGAGGTGAGACGGCATGTGGTGAAAGTGCCAGTCAGACGCGTCTAGGGGGAAGCCAAGGAAGACACAAGGTACGGTGCGGGCAAAGATCTTGTCCGTGTCAGAGGCACGAACGTGAGTGAGGCAGCCCCCAGACATGGAACGCAGACGCGTCACCAGGGGACCCGGTCTAGAGAAGGGTCGGCAAAACCTGCGGCCGTTGGGAGTGTGGCCAAAGGTTAAGCTGGTGAGTGGCGTAGCGAACAGCGAAGGGCCACAGAAATGGGGTGCACCAGTATGGATCATGGAGATACGAGCCACCTACATGACCAAACCGGTGCGTCACTGAGCGACCCCATTTTGCTTCCGGGAGTCCAATAGGTTGTACGAATAGGTGATGCCCTCCACACAACCGAACTGGCCAAGCCAACTGGAGGCAAACTCACCACCACGGTCGGAGTAGAGACAGAGCACTGGCAGGGTGCGGTGGACAAGCGCAGCGACAAGCCACATTATAAGAGCGTCAGGTGCGTCGGCCTTTTTCTCTAGGGGAAATACCGTGGTGTAGCGCGTATACTCGACTACGAGCATCAGAAGGTAGCGCTCGCAACGCGGCCCAGGGATGGGGGCTGGGCCCCATACGTCCAGGTGTAGGGTCTAATGTGGCGCAGTGGTGGGGGGAAATGATGAGGAGAGAGGAGTACGGCGCAGCCGGCCCTCGATGCAAGGCGTGCACGGAGGCGCAGGCGAGGGAGGGAGGGTAGGGAGCGACGTAGGGAGACCTAAGACAAGACCATGCTGTGACATGTAACGCAGACGCGGGAGTGCAGGGTGACCTAGACGGTGGTGCAACAGAAACGACGGGTGAGTGAGCAACCGACATGAGCAAGCCGCAGCGACCTGAGTAGGCGCCGCCACTAGAGAGGACGCTCCTACCGGAGGGGGCGCGGTGTCGAGCATGAACAGGCCAGACACCGGGTCCTGGGGGAACGTGGTGAGGGGGGCCTCAGTGGCGGCCTCGCTACAGACTGCGTACCGCTCGTGTCTAGAGAACGTAGTGGTGACGCGGAGGTCCTGAAGACAGCCGACACCAACTAGGTTCCTGGAGAACAAGGGGATGTACAAGCCTGTAAGGGATCCTGAGGGAACTGCCAGACAAGGAAGGGTGGTGGAGCTACGTGCAAGTACCGGACCTAACGAGGGGTCAGCAAGCGCGACAGCTGCAGGGGTGGCAAGCGGCGTGAGCGCAGCGTGATCGCAAAAGAAGCAAGCTGATGCACCAGAGTCCAGGGCGAAGGAGAGCACGGCGGTAGCATCAGCCGGCGGAGCGACTAGGGTGGAGCTGAGACTAAACAAGGTAGGAGGTCCTACACCTGATGCAGCAAGGGAGCCTGGACTACACACAGTGGACATACCTACACTAGGCAATACAGGGTAATCAGACCTAATATGATCCATGTCCATCTCAAAGACCGGCACACGGTGACGTACTAGGCTGTGCCAGTCCGGGAGATCCAGCGCGGGCCCAAAACAGGGATGAAAGAGGTCATCCAGCCGGTGGTAGCCCGCCGTATCGTGCCCGCGCCCTAGCCCGCTGGCCCCTAGCTCGCCTCTTGCCCTTTGCGCGCTGCGCGAGCCTTAGCCCGCTGGCCCTAGCTCGCCGCTGGCCCTTCGCGCGCCACGCAAGCCCTCGCCTGCTAGCCCCAAGCTCGCCGATGGCCTCTATCTTGCCGAGGCCCTTCGGGCTTCGCGTGCTCCCTGTTCCTCACCGCGCTGGCCCCTAGCTCGTCCGCTGGCCCCTAGCTCGCCGCTGGCCCTTCGCGCGCTGCGCGGGCCCTAGCCTGCTGGCCCCTAGCTCGCCGCTAGACCATCGCGCACCACGCGAGCCCTAGCACTCTGGCCTCAGCCCGCCAGCCCCAGCTTGCCGGCCCTTGCTCGCCAGCCCTCACTTGCCGGCCCTAGCTCGCCGGCCCTAGCACCCTCGCCGCCCCTACCACGCTCGCCGTCCCCAGCTCGCCGGCCCTAGTTCGCCCCTGCCCCAGTTCAAGCCGGCCCCAGTTTGAGCTGGCCCCAGCTCCTGCTGGCCCTTGTTCGAGCTGGCCCCTAGCTCCCGCCGGCCCCAGCTGCCGTGCTGCCGTAACGCTATGCCGCTGTCATGCCGCTCTGCCGTGCCGTTGTGTCGTCGTGCCGCCGTGCCGCCATCCCGCTGTATTATCGTGCCATCGTGCTGCCGTGCCGCGGTGTTGCCGTGCCGCCGTGCAGCTGTAGTCCTGGTGATGGCGGATGCTGAGGTCGACTTCAAGGTCTGGCTCCTGGATGCAGAAGGTCGGGGGGTCGAATTCAAGGTGTGGCTCGCCGACCTCCGCTGCCAGCTGAAGGGTCAGTGCAAGGACGGCCAGTCTCTGGCCGTCTACGTTGACGGTAACCTCCCCTGCCCCGATCCGCCTGCTGTCCTCCCTGATGCCCCCAAGCCTGCTACTGAGCGTAAGGTCTTCGCCGCTCCTGAGCTCGCCCGCTCTGTCTGGGAGTTGCGCAGCTTGCTATCAGTCACGCCCTTCCCCTGTCCAAGCGTCCCCGCCTTTTAGGCTGTAGAGATTGCGAAGGAGTACATAGATGCCGTCATTGCACGCTACTCTACTCCCTCCTGTGCCTCTGCTGGCCATCTCCTTCTTCCCCTTCTTTTCCCTGATCTTGTGTGGGACCTAACCTAGTGTGATACCATCTTAGAATAACGGATTAAGTAGAAACGAGCACACTTGGTGGTTTTGTTCTAGTGTGTTGTACTCTCTATAAGCACGCACCTATGTAGCCTATAACAACAGATGAATATAAGTTGACAGAAACGAGCATACAGGGTGGTTTTGTGCTAGTGTGTTGTACTCTCCATGAGCACACACCTGTCTAGCCTATAACAATATATGAATATAAGTTAGTACACCCCCTAGGCTAGACAAGGGGCAATGCCTAGCAAGAGACATACAGCTCAAGGCAGCACTACTAGTCCAACCTCTGAGGCAAGGGACTTAAGACCAGTCCGCAAGAGTACAAACTAGACAAGAGCAACCCAAGGCGACACTACTAGTCTGGCCACTGGAACAAGAGCCACAAGGTCAATCAAGAGAATATAAAAAGAGTTGTACACAATCAGAGTCCTAGCAAGTGACGAGCTACTGGAACTAGACCAAGCTGTACACAGTGTCGCTGATGATCTTCAAGTGCAAGTGCCTTAGTAAAGATATAGCTGTGTTGGCACCGGAAGCCAAGTGTACTACGCGGGCCTGGCGGCGCTGCTGTAGCTCGTGCAGGAGGAAGTACCGCAGCTGGATGTGCTTCGCTCTGTCCTCTAGTCGAGGCTTCTGACACAGGAGGATCATGGCCATTTTGTCAGCGTACAGGACCGGGGTAGAGCTAGGCCGCTCAGCTATGGGCGTGTCCCAAGAGTACATCCCATAAAATCTGTATGCGGCGGAGTACGGAGCAACATGCTGGGAGCCGGTCTTCATTTTTCACCGTATAAAACGTATGGGGGACGTACTCGTAGGACACGCCCTAAGTCAGTGAGCAAGAACGGCAGCCAGCGTAGCTCCTGTGCCGCCATGGGACCAGTGTAGATCTCAGCCTCATAGCTGGACTGGGTAACAGACGACGAGCGGGTGGACCTCCACGAGATGGCGCCTGCACCAAGGCTAAAGCAGTAGCTCTGGGAGGACCTAAGCGTCTCAGTGTCGTCCGCCCACGAAGCGTCTGTGTGAATAGTAAGGACCATGGGCATGGGTCCTCCCAGCACTAGCCCCATGTCCGATGTACTTGCTGAATATCGCAAAACCCTCTTAGTGGCCAACCAAGGCTGGGGTTGGTGTCTGCCTGATGCCACAAAGCGAGCCAAGATACTCAGAGGGAATGCGAGATCTGTGTTAAAATATACCAAGCTATGCTATTTGTGTATATTGTGTTTACATCCCTAGTTGGGTGTACACCAGTGTGGGGGTGACAATCCAACCCAATTGTGATTGGAGCCCCCAAACACAAGGACAACAATTGTGGGGGCACCACAAGTGGGTTGCTCAAGCCACTTAAGGTCCACCACACTTGGACCGCCTCCCAGTTGTGGTCAGCCATATTTGGAAGGATCCTCCTGACGTTGTGATTGGTCCTAACCATCCCCCCTTCCTTCCAACCTTCCCTTCCTAGCTCATCTCTCTCTTCCTTTGTAATGCCTTTGCCTCATCTCTCTCTCTCTTTTTGTTTCCAACATGGTATAGAGCAATAATGGGTCACGCCAACTATTAATCCCAATCCTTCCCCACGCTCCCACCCCGTCCCCTTCCGACATGCACCTCATTGTCATCCCCTCCATCGCCGCTGCTAGACTCCTAGCCGCCGCCTCTCTTTCCCTTCACAACTAGTATTCTGTTGGGTGGATTTTGAAACACCTCCAGTGCGCCAAATGCCATAGCTTGCTCGCTAATTGACAGAATTGAGTGATTCTACTTGCAAAAAAAAAGTTCTCATTATCAACTACGGCGTCTTCATTTTTTTTTTTTTGTGTTTCCCCGATTGGATTATTGGATGTCGCTTTCCGAAGTTTGCGCACTTTCCTGGATGTGATAACGAAGTGCTGCTGAAATCTCTACCAAGTCCTACTTTCATCAGCTAACAGCCATCTTTCCTCATCATCTGCCTCCTCACCTACGCCTGCTCATTGCTGCCATACTGTTGCTGCAGCCGTAGAAGTAGCAGCAGCCAAAGGAGGAGCAGTAGCAGCAGTAACAGCAGCAGCAGCAGCCGATGAAGGAGCAGCAGCAGTAGCTACAGCCATCCCCATTCTCCCCTCCTCTTTGAGCCACCGCCACCCGCTGCCGCTCCCTCCTGGCCAACGTGGGTCCACCCGCCGTCGCCTTCCTCTCACTCTGCGTCACCAATGGCATCCTTTCCCCCTCCCGTCAACATCTCATCCCTCGATCATCTCGTGCACGCTACTGACAACTCAGCAACAACCTGGTATTCCTTCATCGGCAGCCTCCACCGCGTCCTCGGCAGTGCATGTGTCCTACCGTTCCACCTCCTGGACATCATGCTTGGTCTCCCAGAGGGTGACCTTGGGGACCCGCTGCCTCAGGCTGGCAATCCCCCCCCTCTCATTCCCCATCCCGGCGAGGAACCTCCACCCCCCGTGGTACCCGTTCGCACCAGCACTCGCGCTGCCACCGCTGAAGTTGAGCAGCTCTTCGTTACTTAGTGTCATAAGTTCCTCATGGCCCATACTGATTACCTGATTGCTTTGGAGGAACACGAGCGGTCGGCCACCCTCCGTACCCAGCGTGCCACTACCGCCGCCGCTTATGCCGCTAACTCTGCGATTTGTTGAGCGGCGTCACGCTTGGCTCAAGGCGGACAGCCCTACTACAAGTGCCCTTCTCCTTGCCATCCCGTCTGCACTTATGCGCAACTTCCAGGCTCGAGCTTGCAGTGATGTTCGAATGCATCGACTTCGACGCTGTCGGACCGCTCTTCAAGGAATACTTCAGTATCACGATCAAAAATAGTGCTGGCACCGTTGACTACACCAGCAATCTCTTGGACCTTGCCTCCCGACTAGAGGCTCGACAAATTACTCTCCCCGCCAACCTCTAGATCTACCAACTCCTCGAAGGCCTCTCCCCTCAATATGAAATGCGCGTCATCACCTTTACTGAGGCTCAGCGCCGTGCCTCCCTCGACACTGTGGTCCAGAAGATCATTGACCCTACAGCCCGCCTCCTCTCAACCCCTTCGGCCTGAACTCCACCGAGTCCCAAAACCCCCAGCTTGCAGTCGCACAGCCGCGCCGTGGCGGGCGCCCACGTGACGGCCGCACCAACCCTCAGGAAGGGGGTGGAGGTGGCGGTTGTGGGGACAGCAGGGCCGGCGGCAGTGGTGGCGGGGTCGAGGGTGGCAGCAGTGGTGGTGGTGGAGGTAGTGGTGGCTCATCTGGTAGCCGTGGTGGCTGCCCTTGCACTCTCCCCCCATGTTCCTATCTTTGCCGTTTTGGTCATAGGGCGGGTGAGCTCTGCACCCAAACCAACCATCCCCCATCGACCTGCTTCAAGGCGTATGATAATGCCTCCTCCTCCTCCTCCTCCTCCTCCTCCTCCTCCTCCTCCTCCTCCTCCTCCTCCTCCTCCTCCTCCTCCTCCTCCTCCTCCTCCTCCTCCTCCTCCTCCTCCTCCTCCTCCTCCTCCTCCTTCTCCTCCCCCTCCTCTGTCGGTGACCCCATAACTCCCCAAGAGATGCAGTAGTTTCGCCGCTTCCAGCAGCTGCAGCTGCAGCAACAGCAGCAACAGTGGGGCTCTGGTGGTCAGGCTGCAGCCGTAGCCACAGAAAACGCAGCCGCAGCATCCACATGGCAGCAGTAGCAGCTTGGCTTTGGCATCGCCGCTATGGCTGCCACAGCCACAACAGATCCTCTTGGCTTTCCCCTCTAGGGCTCACCTTCCCCTAGTGCTCCCACCTCCTACTCCAGCTTTCTAGGCGAGCTCATGCGCTCTTCCCCTGCTTCCACTTCCATGTATCCCACTGTTTTTAATGCCAGTGATTTCCAGTACCCCGTGTCTTCAGCTCCCTCCATGCTCACGAGTGACTTGGTTCTTGATAGTGGTGCTACTCAAACTGTCCTCAAAGATGCCGGCACCCTCACCTCCCTCCCTTTCCCCACCAATGTTCGTGGTGCTGATTCCAGCTTCTCCATCCCTTGCACTCATCTCTCCACCCTCTCCTGCCCCCCCTCCCCCTCCGGAGTGGTCACAGATCTCCACATCCCCTCCCTTCATCATCACTTGCTCTCTATCCGTGAACTCCAACAAGCTGGCATCACTACCCACTTCCCCACCTCTGCCACCTACTGTGACCTCCTCCACGGCCCCATTTGTCGCCTCCTTCATCACCTCCCACTTTGCCCTCGCTCTCGTCAGTAAATCCTGAGCACACCCCGCCCCTCCTCATGCCACGTGACCACTAGTGTAGGCACCTCCACTCTCCCCCCTCCCCTCCCCATGCTCTTGTCGTGCACCCCACTGTTATCATCCACCATCCCCTTGGTCACATGAACTTTCCCACACTTCGTAAAGCCGTCTCCTCCCGCTTGCTTGACGGTCTTCCCCCCTTTCTTCCTACCCTCCCGTCCTCTTCCGCTCCCCCATGTGCTACATGCATTCATGGAAAGCTCAAACAAACAGCCTCACCTCAGTCATCCTTCCTTTGCTGCTGCCCCCCTTGACCTCGTCCTCATAGACCTTTGGGGCCCTAACCCTTCCCCTTCCCGCCAAGGGCACCGATACATGCTTGTCCTAGCAGCAGCAGCAGCCGCAGCAGCAACCTCATCGGCATCGCCGCACCACCTCTCTGTTCATCCTCCCACGCATCCACACTCATTCTCATGGCCCACTCAAAGGCCATCCATGGGTTTGGCTAGTGCCACACCCACACTCCCTTCCCTTCATTAAGGACTCCCATGAGCTCATAGGCATTTAGCAACAAACACCTTCCCTCACGCCTCTCTACCAAGGCTTCTTTGGCCTCTTCATCCTTGGCATCGCTACAGCTCCCACAATATTCACCCGTCCAACTTCCTTGAGGCCATCACCTGCCCGGATGCTGCCAAGTCGATCCAGGCTATCTTTGCTGAATGCGAGGCTTATTAGAAATAGACTGCAAATACCACTTTTGTATTTGTACTTTTATATATTAGTTTAGGTTATGAATGTTCTAGTGGGTTGGGGTGTACTCACAAATCCCAACATCACCCAATTGTGATCCCCCCAATCTCCAATTACCCAATTGGAGATCCCGGAGATCCCAATGGGGATTCCCTCCAATTCCCCCTTCATCCATTCACTCTCACCTTGCCATGTACTTATAGAGCCTTGGGCTCCTTACCTAATCAATGATTTCAACTCTATTTCTTACATGCTATCAGAGCGACCTATCCGCACACGCGGATCAAGGTCCTAATCTTAACGTGCCCGCGCTACGCGCACTTCATCGTCGCGACATTCGTTTCGAGTCGTAGGAATTTCGACGTGCTCCACCCTGCAGTCGCGCCTCTCATCGTCGACCGCATTCGCGCTCGACCTCTTTGAATTTCTCATCTCTGAAGCTTTCACGCTTCTCATCGTCGATTTCCTCCTCAGTTCTCCTTGGTCCAATCTCTATTTCGGCCATCTCTTAAAACTCGTTCTCAAGTTTCCCCTCAGACCCCGCCAGAATAGGCGAACTCCCCTCGCGAAATCGCCTCCACGAACGTCTCGCGTCAAGCAAGACCAGGTACACAGGTTGAAGCGGAGCAGAGCTGGTTGCGGAGCTGGTTGCGGAGCTGGTTGCGGAGCTGGTTGCGGAGGTGGTTGCGGAGTATCTCGACTTCTTCGAAACATTCTCGCCCACGGCCAAGCTCCCGACTGTGCGCGCTCTTCTTGATATAGCCGCTCGCGGCAACTTCGAGATTAAGTCCATGGACGCCTCCTCCGCCTTTCTCCAAGGCCAGCTCAAGGAGGATGTTCACATGGAACGCCCACCGGGGTTTCCTGGCACTTACTCTGCCAACACAGTGTGGAAGCTGAAGCGCCCAGTGTATGGCCTCAAGCAGGCTCCTCGTGAGTGGCACAACAAGGTGAAGGAAGTCCTCCTCGCACTTGACTTCCATCCCTCTGCCTCAAATTCCAGTCTCTTCGTTCGTCACTCCTCCGAGCCCTTCTACATCCTCGTCTACGTCGACGACTTCATTCTAGCCGCCAGAGATCCAGCCGACATGGCAGCTGTCCAGTCTGCTCTCAGCTCCGCCCTTCTCATGAAGGATCTTGGTGACCTCAAGAACTACCTGGGGAAGGAGATCACTCGTGACCGCCAGGCTTGCACGATCACCCTCTCCCACGAGTCTTACATCGACAACCTTCTCAAGCGGTTCGACGTGGACTCCAGTAACTCTGTCTCCACTCCACTCCCACTACAGCATCAGCTCACGGCCCCTCCAGTTCCTTCTCCTGACGCCTGCAAGGACCCGTACCCTGAGCTAGTCGGTTCACTCATGTTTGCCACGATGTGCACTCGACCAGACTTGGCTTACCCGGTTAGTGTCCTCTCTCGGTACGTCTCCCCCGGACGCTACACTGCCTCGCATTGGTCTGCAGCCAAGAGGGTCCTCCGCTATCTACAAGCCACCAAGTCTTACATCCTCACTCTTGGTGGTACCTTTCCAGTCAAGCTCGAGGGATACATAGACTCCTCATGGGCCGATGACCAGACTGACAGGAGCTCCTCCCAAGGGTACTGCTTCACCCTTGGTAGCGGAGTCATCAGCTGGCGCTCCACTCGGTCCTCTGCAGTCTCCTTGTCGTCCTGTGAGGCCGAGCTCTACGCGGGCACAATGGCTGCTCAAGAGGCACGCTGGCTCTCCTTTCTCCTCGCTGAGTTAGGCTACCCCCAGCAGTCGCCCACCCTGTGGTGTGACAACCAGAGTGCCATTCACCTCACCAAGGATCCTGTGTTCCACTCTCGCACCAAGCACATCGAACTTCGTCATTTCTTCATCCGAGATCTTGTTCAGAGTGACCAGCTGACGGTACGGTACATCGCCTCAGATTGCAACCTCGCCGACCTCTTTACCAAGGCTCTCGGCAAGGCTAACCACCATCGCCTTCTCCGTTCCATGGGGCTATGTGCTCCTTGATCGGGTTTTGCAGTCTATGGGGGTGTGTTAGAAATAGACTGCAAGTACTACTTTTGTATTTGTACTTTTATATCCTAGTTTAGGTTTTGTATTCGCCCAACGCCGAGCTGCGCGAGCCGCCACCGCGACCGACGCCACAAAAGCCGCCAGGCCACCACGGCTGCTACTGTTGCGAGTGCTGCTGCTGCTGCTGCTGCTGGGGCTGCTGTTATTGCTCTTGCTGCTGCTCCCGGGAATCAGCCCCGGCCCCATCGTCTGCACCACTGGTACTCGCACCACCTCCACCACCTCCGCCACGCTCTCCCTTGGGGCGGCGGCCCTTACCCTGCTAAGGCTGAGCTGAGGCTGCCGTAGCGGTCTCAGCAGCAGAGGCTGTCTTAGCGAGAGTGGCAGAAACGTCAGAGTAAGTGCACTGGGAGGGAGCACAATGCTGGAAGATAGGGACCGGTGCAGTACCGCTAGACTGAGTGATAGTGCGCTTGCGGGTCTCTATCGCGGATAGGGCGGTAACAAAGACAGTAAGGGTGAGGTCAGAGGGGTGGAGAGTTAGGAAGTGGTTGCGGGCAGTGGCGAGGCGGTCGGGAAGGCGCATAGCAAGGAAGTAGAGGGTAGCGCCGAGGGGGGGAGGTAGTACAGTGAGCTGGGCCTCAGTGCTAGCAGCACGGTAGCTAGTCTCAAGAGTGCGCAGATGAAGGACGCAGGATCAGGGAAGAGCAGCGGAAGAAGAAGACGGCAAGCAGAGGAGGAGGAGGGAGTGGAATAGCGCGCAATGATGACATCTAGGTACTCCTTCGCAGTCTCTACAGCCCAAAAATCGAGGACACTCGTACAGGGGGAGGGCGGGACTGATAGCAAGCTAAGCAACTGCGTTGCGCGACTCCCAGACAGAGCGGGCAAACTCAGCAGCTGCAAAGGCCTCACGCTCAGCGGGCGTGGGGGCGTTAGAGAGGGCAGCAGGCGGGTCGGAGCAGGGGAGCTTTTCGTTGACGTGGACAGCCAGGGACTGGCCATCCTGGCGTTGACCCTTCAGCTAGCAGCGGAGGTCGGCGAGCCACACCTCAAAATCGACCGCACGACCCTTCGCGTCCAGGCGGAGCACCGTGTCCGCCATCACCACGACTACAGCAGCACGGCAGCACGGCGACACAGCGGCACGGCGCCACGGCGGCACAGCGACACAGCGGCATGGCGGCACAGCGGCACAGCAGCACAGCAGCACCGCGGCACCCCGACGCGGCGGCATGGTGGCACAGCGGCTCGCGGCACGGCGAGCTGGGGCGGTGCGGCTTGGGAAGCAGAGTCCGGCGGCGTGCAGGGTCGGTAGGAGCTGGGGCCGGCAGGAGCTGGGGCCGGCTCGGACTGGGGCCTACTCGAAGTGGGGTTGGCGCGAACTGGGGCCGGTGAGCTGGGGCCGGTGAGCGTGGTAGGGGCGGCGAGCGTGCTAGGGCTGGTGAGCTAGGCCCGGCGAGTGAGGGCTGGCGAGCGAGGGCCGGCAAGCTGGGGCCGACGAGCTGAGGCCGGTGCACTAGGGCTCGCGTGGAGCGTGAAGTGCCAGCGGCGAGCTAGGG